AAAATATTGATTTATTTTTCATTCTAGTTTCACCTACTATGGAAGGAGAAATGTGTCAATTTCCATATTATTTAAACGGATGGGATATGTACTTTTGTCTTTATCAAGAAAGTATACAAAATTATACATGTCCAACAAACTTAGGAAACCAAACATGTATCAGAGGTTAGTTTTTGAAATAAAATATTACTGCTTTTCATAGAGAATATCTTTAAAAAAATAGGTCAATATGCATATAAGACTACTTCGGATCCGAATGGTTTTGCTGAAATTTACAAATCAGTTACAACTATAACTATAAACTCAACTGATGAAGATCAATGTCTTAGTTTTTATTATTATTTTACGAATAGTTTTCGAGAACCATCTATTTCTTTTCGAATGAGTGCAACATTGAACACATCAAATAGTCAAAATATTGTAATTGTCAAACCAAGTAATGCAAATAAATGGTACTATAATCAAACAACATTTAGAGTAACACCAGATGAATATTCTGTAAGATAAAAACTACTGTTGCAGACAATAATGCTATTAATTCTTCTTCGCATAGTTCATGATAGGTTTTTATCGAGCTGAAGATTTGAATGATACAACTAATTTCACTTTCGCGATTGATAATATATCGATTATAAATGGACCATGTTGTAAGTTAAAAAAAAATATTGTCTAACATTTGAGTAATTGTCTTATTTTAGCTTATGTTTTCAACGATAGTATAACTACCGATGGTTTAATATTTGTAAGATTGAACTGTTTAGATATAAATAGTACCACCTAGGTGGTTTTTTAGAGTTTTTGTATACGGTCGTAGACGATTCGAATCCGATAACTTTATGACTATAAATCATTGAATATGAATTGTTTAAATGCTGTATTTTATTCTTAACCAGAGCAAGTATTGAAAGTCGTATTCACACTGCATTGTAGACGATGTATTCACGACTAACATAAGATGATTGTCAATAATCCTATCTTCCCTTCCTACGCGGCTAAATTTGAGGACGCACCATTTTCTAGAACATATTGCCAAAGATGATGTTCCTTTCCTTAAAACGAATGTGGTTCCTGTAGGTTCTTCAGATCAACTATGATAACTTGTTTTGCTCTATCCAAATCTGCAGTCAACATAGATGAAATAGGAAACAAAGGTATTGGACACAGTCAAAAGTTCCTATATTTTAGTTTTTCTCGACTAATTTCAATGAACTTAGAGACTTTTGTTTTGCAGTAGACAAAACCTAAGAATCGACTCGCAGAAACCGTTCAAATTTAGACACAGCTGGCAAGAAAAATCGGTAGGAATAGAGCAATCATCAATACTGGATATATTCTAAACTCCGATTAGAAACTCAAGAAATTGACTTCTCTATACTTACAAAACTACATGCACAGTATTGAGAATTAGCGAACTTTCAATGCTTTTTCATGCACGTTATTTTCGATGTTGAATGCTCCTTCCGGATCTATTCTTAGATTTTGTCTAATGCAAAACCCCATGTCTCAAAATCTTTTGAAATTAGTCAAAAAAAAAACTCTGCGTGTTTTTTACCACTACCAAAAGCTTCGTTTTTTATTTCATGCATATCTATGGTAGCTTCAGTTCGAGCGAAAAAACTTATCAGAGTTGATATAAACAACCAACAAGAACTACCCTTATAATAAAGAACAAAATCTCATCGGTGACATCTTGGTCTAAGGATTAGTGCATCCATAACTAAACTTGAATAACTTTAGATAACCGTATTCACATCACAAAGTGCTATAAATATTTAGTCAGTATCTCAGCATGAGCGTCTTTACGCTCTTGATATTCGCCTGTAGAGATGATGCCTTGAATCAGTTCAGTTGCTCATCAAAACTATTCCCAAGTATTACTCACCAGCCTTGACAATCATTAAAAACAATGGAGCTTCGTGTGATTATTGTAGCATGGTTAAGCGGAATTTTTGTCGAAAATAGCCTGAAACGCAATGGTTAGACATTGAGTTTTAGACAATGTTTTTAAATAATCAGAACTGAATTGATGTTCGCTCTTCAAGTATAGGACTTATTAAATAGAAAAGGTAGATATAAAATATGGAAAAAGAAAACTTGATGCCTCTATGGAAACTTGATAGTGACTAAAGCATCCGTCGATATAAGACATAGCTTAAAGATAGTTTTTAATGCTGCACTTAATTCTGTTACTGAGGCCACATAAAATGCTATCATTTGATATCCAAACTATCTCAAACAGTCAATCAGGGCTTGATATTGAGAATAACGAAAACATCTTTCAAAGATAAATAGGAGAAAGTAATGGTTGTGAGCAGAAAGCAGTCCTAAATTACATTAAATAAAGAAAAGTTTGTCAGTACGAGAAAGGACTCAATAGAAATGGTCGTTAGTATAGCATTCCCTGTTAGCTAATGAAATATTTAAGTAATCTCGGTAATATAATGGAAATACAGCGCATAAAGAGTGATCGGCTGCGGTACCGTTTCGTACGATAATGCATTGTAATACGATGCACCCTATCAATCGTCATCTTCAAGTCGAAAATCATCGTTATTGAACCGTATACGGCCGTTTACTTATCATATTGTTCTGTCAGAGCTATTTATTTTTTGTAGAATGAAACGTTTACTATGTCGACCGATTTGGACACGAAGACAACAGAAAAGTAATATTATGTAATTTCAAAATTCTTTATAAAATCTAATTTTCATACAAATAGGGATACTACTATCCAAATGATCGAATTACCCACCACAGTCAATATTTCAGAAACAACGACAACTATTCAGCAAGGCTCCACAACAACTCCTATGATTTCAACGACTACCCCTAGTGTTGCTATTATCGATAGTTCCACTACTACCACTGAATCGATAACAACAACCACTGAATCGATAACAACAACCACTGCTGTGTTGCACATTACATCTACCTCGACAAGTACAATAAAAACAACTTTCATTACAACCTCTTTAAATACGACATCAACAATTACAATTCCTATAAGTACAACGGTACGTAAAACATTGTTTTACTAATCAATGAATATTTCATGATCGATATCAAACGTTCTCAGATAAATCTAATGAGAAAAAGAACTGTTCAAATAGATTAAGTTCTATAATAAGTTTTGCTCACACATTTCCTCAGATCCGAACTAAACTTGAACTTGTTGATCTTGAATTTGAAAATAAAATATCATGTAACTTGAAATTTCAATGTCTTATGATCAATAATCATTCAGTGATGAATTTCTGTGTTTGACATGAAGAATTCAAATACTATGATGCTTAAACAGAGATCTTTTCATACTTGTTTAGATTAAAAGACTGATAAACTAATAGGTTCGAAATTAGTCTAGTTTTATTTACTATATATAATACTAAATAATCGTTTCTATTTTAGACGGAACCTACTACGATTAGTTCTACTACAACATTATCCGACATTTCAACGACTACACGAAAATGTAAGAAAATTGTTTTTATTAATAATATTGGAATATTTATATTTACTAAATCTGTTTTAGCCAAGAATTTGGCTTTAGCACTTGGTTTATCATTGGGTTTGGGTATTCCAGCATTAATTACAATTATTTTCATTGCGGTCTACGTTGTGAAATTCGTACTTTAATAATGAAAACAAAAAAGAGACTCATTGCATTCGATAGTGCTGATGGGAACTAAATAGACATTCATTTGATTTTTTTAAATACATTTGATTTTGAAAACTGTAAGGTTTTCGTATTTCTAAGAGATATTTTGTCAATTGAGAACTGTTTTTAGTTTTGAAATTTCTTCCACTAAGGCTCATCGTTAACTGAGTCAAATGTATGAGAAATATGAATAATAGTTAATTACAATCCATTGAATATTAGTAAAGTAATAATGTGTAGCTTGAACTATTATTATTTGATTATTAACTAGCGAAAAAAAGCAATTATTCATATAATCGTTACTATTTCTGCTGAAGATCAACGCAAAATCGAATGAAGCACATAATCTGTTGTGAAAATTTTTTTTCTTGAGAGAACTAGCAAATATCAAGCATATAAGAGACGCAACTGTAAAATTAATCGTCTTATCTTTTTTTCTCATTCAACAATTTTTTTTATTGGGTATATATTTATCAGTTGATGTAATCAAAAAGAAATCTCGATGAAATCATGTATGCATGTACGAGTGATGAAAGAATATTCTTAACTAAGAGTAAAACACGAACGTTATCGAGATATTTTAATGCTGTAGGTTACGTTGAAATCTTCTTTCAATCAACTTGAAGTAAACACATTTAATATCAAACAGTAATTCAGAGTAACCTTCCACTCCCTCCCCGCCCCCGTCTCCCGTCTGTTTGATTGGGTACTCATCATAATGTAATGTGCAAATAAATCTTTTGATTATAAAGATAAAAGGGATTTTAAGCTCCAAATAAAATGCATTTAAGACTGTTTTCTTTTCATGAGATCAGCAAACTATTTCTTTTTTTCTTACCATTTTCATACAAGTCTTATCCGTTCAGTAAATATATTTAATTATCTTATCAGATATTACTTTGCCATATTATTTCATCAGAGAATAAAACGTTTCAAACTCATTCACATCAACACATTACAAATTGAAAATCGCAATAATCAGCATGGTGAAAATAATCATTATTTTTTTATTAATATTCATTACATACAGTCAATCACAAGAAATAAATACTCTTTTCAACTGTACATTTGATTCTGGTCCGGTTGATGATTGTACTTTCCAAGGGATTCTATCACCTGCTGATAGTCTAGACATAGATATAGGTCAGTCATTAACTGCTGATAGTATCGGTTCACCTGATCGACCATTGTCCGATGCTACATCTGTGTGTAAGTTAAATAGAATATTGCAAAGAAAAAATATTGATTTATTTTTCATTCTAGTTTCACCTACTATGGAAGGAGAAATGTGTCAATTTCCATATTATTTAAACGGATGGGATATGTACTTTTGTCTTTATCAAGAAAGTATACAAAA